AAGGGGGGGGGGGGGTGCTAGTGGCGGTACAAGAGAAGAGCTACCAGGAAACGAGAATACTGAAGGGTGCGAGTGAGAGAATGAAAAGAAGAGAAAGAGAAGGAAAGGGACGCAAGATACTAGAAGGGTTGAAACGTCAACCAATTCGAGGAAGACGTCATGTACTCTAATCAGCATCGTAATACCTTACCACGGTGGCAAAAAAATAAAGCGCTTAAATAATATGCAAGGCACTTTATACGTGCTTGAGGTTTCTGTACGACAATCCGTGTAGTTTAATACGCTTAATATTATAATAATTCTCCAATATATCCTTCGGAGATCAGTAATAATAGTTTTGGCAATTTCTATAGTTTGTCGGTAGTAAATAAAGCAGTATTACGTATCTACGATCCCTCATGGAAAATCATCCTGTCACGTGTGTTTGGTTCAAAGCTAGCACGGCTAAAAAGTTCTTTTGGATAAATTTTCGAAATTTCTAAAAGACTTTCGAAAAATTAAAAACATGCTGTCGTGTGTAGAAAGGGAGGGAAGATAAAAATACAGAAAAAGCCAACAACGTAGGATTTAGCAGGTCCTTGCACCAATCTATTGGGAGCTCAGATGCTTACGGGAGCAAGCAAGACAATATTTACAAGGGAGCTGACAGACAGGAGCGTCTGTTGTTGCGTCGCGACGCAAATACCACCCTACTACAGCCTTAACACGCCGTATAACCCCTTTTATCCTCGACCCACGGGAAATCGAAATGTGAAGAAAACAGTAGAAGAAATAGGGGAGCATGGATAACGCGAGATAGGGGATAAAATTCTTATTATATTTGTACGGCCCTGACTGCGTTTACGTATCAGTGTTGGTATAGGTACGGTTTGCCTGACACGTTAATACACGCGTAAAATGTAGCGTATGCGCCAGTCTGCAAGAAAGAATCAATATCATCGTGTGATTTGCGTCAATGAGTTTAACGATCTTAAAAAATAAAATTAATTATATCAAAAAAATATATATACTTCTCGATCATCCCACGAGAAGTCATTAATTGTTAAAATGCACGTGTGCCATCCTAAAGGGTATACCAGTATGTTATGGCTATAAGAAACGTGATTGTAAGCTCAAGCAACTAACCAAGCAATACGAAATACAATCACAGCTGCAATCATTGTCACGATTATCATCGTTATCATTATTGTCATCACTGACAATAATCTAGAGATTACCTGTAAAGATTCTTGTTCTGCCGTATCACGCGCACAGTGTTATTCCAATGGGCCAATCATCGAGATCGCACTGACAGTTAGAACAGCTTTAAACGTAACATAGTTCGCATACTCGATGTCAATTCACGCATTGTAAACGCGTCCAGAATAATCCATTGTCTTGTTGAATAGTTCTACGACTGTCGTAACAGTCGATATTATATACACATTAAAAAGAATAATAAACAAACAAAAAATCCGTTTTCACGTGACGCCTCGCTATAACGATATCGTGATAAAGGGCAAATAGTATTATAAAGTCGTTTGCTTAATTATTTTCATAAAGAAAAAGATAAACAGAAAAAGTAAAAAATATTGGAAAAGTAACGTGGTCGATGGTAGCACAAGCGAAGGGAGCGTGAAGCGTTCACGACGAGGTGTTCTCGGGAACTGAACGTGTCGTCGAGGATGACTCTCCGGAGCGCTAGAAGTGCCCGGAGCCAGAGGATTGGTGGTTCTAAGGGACGATAGGAAAGGTGAGGGTTGGTACCAGTGCTTTTCGGCCAACGAGGGTGCCAGAGACGACGCGGAGTCGGAGAGTTCGACTAGGGGATGTGAGGGGGGGGGGTGTTGCGGAGAGGGGAAGAGCGTCGGTGATACAAGGACGAGAGGGCGGAAGGGTGGGAGGGAGGTTTCGACGCTGAGCACCCTCAAGAAAAAAAGGAGAAGCGCGGAGGTTAGTTGCGTAGGGGTGGCTATACTGGCGCGTCGCGTTGGTGAATACCGGTGTTGGTTAGACGCTCGCGGAGGAGTGAGGGTAGAAAGGCGCGTGCGCAAAATACAAGCGAAATAGTTATGCAAGCGATTAGGCCTGCCGTTGCGATCGATATCCACCCCTACGATTTCCCTACGTGCCACCACCACTGCCGTCGAAAAACCCGCACCCCCTCTCACTTTCCATGACAACAACGCGAACGACCACCTGCCGACTGTTCGATGGATTCGCACTCTCTTTAAAAATATTATTCAGTCATAAGTGCGACAAGAGTTCGTCCACGTTAATATAAGACTGTCGTCGGCATTTTCATTCGATTATTTGTCCACTGTTTTAAATTAGGCGGATAGTCTATTTATCGAGGATGGGTCTGTCGCAATCTGTTTCACTTTTATCTTTGCAATTCTGAAGTCTCACCGAGTACGTCACTGTAGGGATCTTTATGGATTCCCTAAGGCAGTTTACGTCTAGCTACATTTCCCAATAAGTATCGTATACACAGTTGGTCATCCTATTACGACAATCGGTACTGCGACATCGGCATTGCTCGTTGGGAAGATCGCTGCAGCCAGGCAGCCAAGTGACCCTAGGTGAAATGATCGGTTTTCGGCATATATTGTGAAATAAAAATGATGCAACGTAAACACGTAGCTGTCTGATAACGCACGAGTAGCACGGAAATGGAGTAAATATGAAAGACCGATTTCTCGCCAAATCGGCGATTCTCATGCTGGACAGACAAGTTGGTAATACACCATCGATTGGCCAATGTATCCGCTATGAGAAGAAGAGTGAACTGGGGGGGGATCGATCGATAGATAAAAGGGAGAGAACGGAGCAAAGGCAAAAAGTAAAAAAAAAACAAAAAGTGACGTAGAAGGAGAACAAATAATAATACATCAGAGCAGCCAAAGCAAGACCAGCAATTTTCCTCTTTCCGCGTGAGGAATTCGATTGAGCACGGAATCGAAGTACATACAGGGAACGTCCAACGACGATGTACTGGTAGCTTTTCTTTATTCTCTCTCTTTATTCCTCCCTTTCTTCTGTTTCCCCTTCTTTGGTTTTCCTCAATCCACTCCATTCCCCTCAATCCGCTTTTACTCCATTTCGCCCCGTTTTACTCTCTGGACTCTGAATCGTTGCTTCCGGTTCCGTTCCTGTGGCTCCGAGTTAGCACGGGCAATAGAAAGGATCACAAGAAAGTTCAAGGAGGCTGCCACGAGCGAATAACAAGAACAATGCAGATAATCGGATAATATTTCAATGTAATATTACGTAGTAAAATAAAAATGAAAAAAATGTATATGCTTTTATCTTGAAACAGACCAGGGACGTTGTTCGAATTTGGCGTAGGCGCTTGAAGATGTAGCTAAGAATAGAGGGTTGGTCTTTACTGTTGAATCGAAGGCAATTAAAAGTTTCCCTTGGCAAATACCATTTCAGGGGTATAGAAAAAGAAACAGGAATGGATCTCGGTGATATCGAGGCGTTTGGGCTCAAGCGAGTCGTGGGCCGAAAAGCGGAAGAGAAAATAGAAGAATACAATATAATCAAAAGGGCCTGGAGGGAACGACGCGCTGAGAATGACACGGGATGCGAAAATGAAATTGTCCCTCGTTGAAACTTGCGAGAAAGTTAATCGACGTTCAAGATAATTCTAGAAATGTCAGCGCCTTGTTTTCAAAAATCTCCCACTTTGCTGGCACGCGTAGCGGAAAACAAGACCAGAACGAAATTAATGCTAGCGCGCGGTAATCTGAGGTTCTCAGTGACCGAAAATCGAAACTCAGGGCTGAACAGACTTTTCTACCGACTTGTGGTTCTCTATAATTTTCATCTTGAGACTCTAGGCGGAACCTACGTAGCAGATAATATGTGGGACCGAGTCAGAGAGTGCACGAGCGTGAGGAAAATGACTGGGGTATAAGAGACCCCATGCGACTGTTTATATTAGGAATTCCGCAAAAATTAATAGTTCACGGTTTGTTAATAATTGCTTTGTGAAATGTTTAAATAACTAAGGCTAAAGTAATAATAATAATATCTATAAACCGTTTCATTAATAATATTTATGCGAGGGAATATATCATTTTCGTAGACATCGAATGAAAACATTCGACCTTATTATTTAGCCTGATTTCAGATTTCTGTAAAATTCACATTAATGAACATTTTCAAAAGAATTTTAACGAAGACCCTTTATGAATCTTACACCATTATATACAGAAAAGAAAATATGGTCAATAATCAGTTTTTTTATGGATATGAGTAATTTTCTGAAACACCATTATTATGAACCAATTTGACTCTCATTTGAGACTTTCAATATATTAACGATATATACGTATATCTTTTTTAACAAAAGCATCTATCTTAAATCTCCAAGAACCCACACGACGCTACGAATCAGTATCGGCATTAGAACTTGTGTAAATTGCAAGCTCGTCTAAAATTGTCCATTTAGAGTTTGTTGAACGTGACGCGTGCGCACATAGGTGTTTAATAGGATGATAGCTACAAATTATTAAAAGAAAACAAAAAGAGACACGGTAAGTAAACATTTGAAGAAATTTGAGAATTCGTTGATCTCACTTGAGTTCCTTGGAATGGCCAGAGCGAGAGGGTGGTGCGTGGGAGGCATTAAGTTATGCGTTACCACGGAAATATTTCATAAAGCCGATGCGTACCAGGAATTATTCAATATCTCAGGAATCCTTTGAGGATTCGAACAGTCCGATGCTTCCTCCTTTTCACCTTCCTCTACCGTTATTTCAAACCATCTTTTTCATATCGTCTCTTTATCTTTTACTTTGATCATATTATCATCCAATGGGTTATTTATTATTTATAATCCCTTTATCATCTATTCGCGTCTCGTGCGCCAAAATGCTAATGGCAAATATACTTCACATATCGATTTCACTCCATCCCCTATCTCTCTCATAAATTTACATCCAACTTGTCGCACAGTAAATTCCATGGTCGCAATAAATGAAAAAAGAAGAGTCCGTCGCTCTGAATTTGTCGTGAATCAACTACCGAGTTTCATTTCACGAAATTTTCATAACCTCATAAAAACAGTCACCGATGCAAGGGTCCAAAGAAATTCCAAGTACTTCGACCCCATTGAAGGATGACACCAACGCAAATGATACCAACGCAAATGGTACCAACGAAGACTTATCTACCCGGTAAGAGTGGGATGCACGATATAAAAAAATAATCTGAGGAATGACGTGCGAAAAGAAAGAAAAAAAAAATAATGTCAAAATTTTTCAAAAAGGACCAGAACACTCACCAACGAGGAAGAAGAAAACGAATATACCTGTTGCCATCGCGCGACGTTCTGTAATCCCATATTACGTGAAATAATAGTTACGAATCCGATATCACCGTGCACGCCACAAATAACATGGTCGAGCCTATTTTGGGCCACAAACGTCATAGGCTTCATTGTTTTAAGCTGGTGCGCCCTCTTCTTTCTCCTCGGCGACGAAATGTTACCAGGCGCTCGAATATTCGGTCTCTTCATGCTTACAATATTTTCTTACATATTGGGCTGGTCATTCACGTACGTGCCGTACTTGCATCTGCCCCCAGTCTTTGGCATGTTATTGGCTGGTATAATAGTTCGCAACGCGGACTTGTACGATATCCACGAAGCACTTGGTACGACGACCTCAGCTAAGATACGGATATTCTGCTTATCCTTCATTATGTTACGCGCGGGATTGAATTTGAATACGACGCCTCTGCGTCAGCATCCCGTTTTCGTATTGGTACTCGCTGTTCTACCCTGTACCGTCGAGATGGTGGTGGTCGCCCTCTGCAGCAGAGTTATCCTTGATTATCCCTGGGACTGGGCATTTATGAATGGGTCAGTGCTGTAAACATAATAGTACCGAAGGTGGATTATCATTAAAAAAAAATACTTCTTACAGAACTATCATCGCCTGTATGTCGCCTGTGGTCACTGTCCATTGCATATTGTCATTGGCTGAACAAGGATACGGCGAGGATAAGGGGATGGCTACTCTCTTGTGTGCAGCTGCCTCCATAGACGATGTCCACATTGTGTCTATTTTTTCAGTGTTTTATTCCATTGTATTTAGCGACGGTAAATACAATTTTACGTAATAACGGTAGGACGCGGATTATGCGAGTGGTCTTTGAATTGTTCTAGATCAAAAGAGAAACGAATGGTGGGCTTATATCCCTGGCGGTTTACGTGACCTGTTACTGGGCCTTATAGCTGGAACCGTTTTAGGGACATTCCTCGCATTTGTTCCACATAGAAAACAGGTCAGTATTCTGCCTAGGTGGTTCCCTCTGTGGGAACGTGCCGAAAATGAATATTGTCCGTGTTACAGAAATACGTTCTTTATTATCGCTTCGGCGGACTCATAGTGGCTTCTCTGGTCTGCACGACAGCGACTCTCAAGTTGGCGGTGACTGGTGGTGGATTTTTAGCCTGTGTTTTAACTTCATTTATCGCAACTACCGGCTGGCGACTTCTCACCGTGTCGTTTGACGTGAGAAATTATTTATCAATTTAACTTACGATGATTTACCGTTTACTAATATACAGAAAAATCCCTAGATATCGCCATTACGCAAAACGAGTAATGTTATGTGGTACTTTCTACAGCCACTGATGGTGGGTGTCATTGGAGCGGATATAGATTTTCGTGATTGGACCATCAGCCGATTCGGGCTTTACGTCGGCTGCATCTTGGTTGGGTTGATTGTACGATATCGTGATGTATAATGATATTAATAGTAATCAATGAGCTTCGATTTACAGGCAAGAAGTATATTTACAGTAGCGGCCACTTTTCGAACGCCTTTCAACATAAAGGAGAGAATTTTCGTAGCCCTTGCTTGGCTACCTAAAGGAACCCTACAGGTGTCGCAGAATATTCCATTTCTCAAAATATTGCTGTTTAACTGATTTAATGAAATTGATAACAGGCGGCATTGGCGCCAATGGCCTACGAACAAGCAAGCAAGACTAACGATACCAAAGCTATAGAGCTGGCTGTGGATCTTGTGAGAATATCGGTAGTGGCCATTGTATTTATGGCGCCTCTTGGCGCTATACTAATGATGCTCACCGGCCCGATCTTACTGGGCAAAGCCACCCAGGAGGAGAGCCAACGAGAACGCGAGCTCAGCTATTTGCGTATTGTCAGTTTGCAGCCGGTAAGACAACGCAAGAAAAAGTCCAAAAGAGAAGCGATAAACGACGTAGAAGAAACCATCTAGAAATGCGTTATATGCCTAGAAGGAAGATTTGTAGGGAAGGGATTCTTTTGCATTAAAAATAAAAGACAGTGTCTGGGAATCTGTGGATTTCTTGATGCTTTGCTAAATAAAGTGTATATCAACGCACACGACATATACTAAAGTCCTGTATCGGCATCCTGATCATATATAAATCCGATCAGGGAAGCTAGAAATGATCATCACCCATGGCAATCCCATCAAGTACTACGCATGTACGTAGGCTACGTAGATACTGATGGAATGTACGTAAACGCAGGCTATAGGACTCACGGTAGATTTAACGATTTGCCAGAAACGATCGTGCACGCTATAATCCTGTCACGCGAAATTAGCAGATATGTGTATATCATAATAAATATAGATCTGCAGTACAGCGCAGTACAGGATGGTACAGTATTCTTGAATAATCGTGTATAGGGTATGCACGTACGAAGATATAAAAGTACAGGTAAAATACGGGGAGTCTACATAATTCGGATCTTAGTGTCCTGCTTAGATCTGAACTTTACCAACCCTTAAGATGTATAACGGAATTTTATGCGATCTACTAGATTTCCTTGGGACCATTTTTATTTTATGGATTTCTTTATTGAGATTCCATGCGACCTGCTATCTTATCCCTATTCGTCTTTACTTATTTACTTCCTCTTTTAGTACCTTCAGTCAAGAGAGACGGCGTGATATTTGGATGGTTGTAAAACGGTAGATGGTGATGCCAAACCACGGGTATATTCTTTGAGAGCCCTTTTTTAACATCTACTTTCTTTGCGCAAGAGCGGATCGACAACGCGCTTTGACCAGGTTCGTAAAAATCAGCATTGTAGAAGAATTCCAATAAAATATCTCTCTGTCTATTGCTTCATTCCTTTTTTCTCAATTTATTTTTATCATATTACATTTTTAAATCTTTCTTTCGCATCTTAAATCTTGCATTTTTTGGATTTTTCTTCCCTTTTACTTGTACAGATATTTTTGAACTATGACCTCATTCACGAAAATATATTCATTGTAACGTAATTCTTTAACTGAACCCGACACCGATAGCAAAACATACGAGAACGACTATCTTCGAGAACCAACCTACGTTACCTTCGGCCGTCCACCCGTCGTTCGTGCATCCGCAAGCCAGGCGGGCGTCAGTCAATTCTTTTTTCACCGGGAACTGACGAGCCGGTATAAACTGGGAGTTGGGGTGGAACAGGCCCAACTCCACCAAGAACGAGAGCTCTGGCGGAACCTATCAGAAGAGGCGATAGCTTAACGGATCCTGTCGATTTTTGGGGTCGCGTAAAATCAGCAAACGCACCTGGATACACGAACGGGAGCGGACGGTTACGGAAATGCACGGCCGCTCAGGCTGCTAGGTTTGAGGTAGAGAGGGTCGGAGTAAGAGTCCGGCAAATAGTGCGAGAGACAGAGAGCGACGAACCGAGAACGTATCAGAACGAATCTTAA